CCTTGCTGAGCAGGGCTGTGACAATTACAAAATAGCTGTAGTAAGGTAAATTAGTCAGTGAGGCAGTTTCATAGAACGAAACTCAATTTTCGAAATGTCTCGATTCAGAGACGTACTTGATACCCATGATGGCGCAATGGCTCCACGTCAGAATGCAGCAGAAGAGTACAATAAAGTTCGTTCGTTTTAATCGAGACACTATAAGTGACGCGTTAATCTTTCGAAAGTTTTTTTTTCAGATTTTTGGTTGTGTGCTGGATCCATTATACAGATCAGTTCAAGTAGCTGCTACTCATCTGCATTCTCCTTTAGGTTTGCCAATTAAGCTCTGGATTCTTGTAACGTTTTAGAAGTATTTATATTCAGATGTTGCTGTATATACGCTAAATTGTTTGTCAGCGATTTATTCTCTGGTCATTCTCTATCCCTTTACCGACTCACGAATCGAAATGATCAAAGCTTTAGTGAGTTATTGTTATTTTCTATCAATTAGGGGGCTTTTGCTGTTATTATCAATCTTCGAATGTCATTTTTAGATGGAAGGTAACGAGGATGTTTTGGTATCTGAAGAGGCTTCGACGATTCTTGCGAATACTGGTCTAATCAGTTTGTACCAAAAGGCTGCTGCTCATGACAGGAATCAAGTGCGTACATACTTAAGAATGTATTGTTCAGTATATACTGTTCCTTATCGTAACTTACCACGTGCGGCACACTGCATCCTCGGATTTTAGGGTCCACTGTCTGCCATACCGGGCATGGATGCGAATACAGTCAATCAAACTTTGTTACAATTTGATTTATATCTCTCTCAACCAGATAATTATGAGTTAGATCAAGTGGCCAAAATCAGCAGTATTCGCACGAGGTTCGACTTTGCAATCTAAACTTAAGGTTTTACCAAAAATAAGATCTGTAAGGTTTTAAGATTCCTTAAACTCATATTTGTAGGGAGAGTGTGCAGCAGAGAACAGTGGATAACGTGGTTGCTGCTTACTCGGTTATCATCAGCAAGTTGGAAGATCCGTTTAATGCTTATGCAAATGTCGCTTTCAAAACTGTTGAGCAGGCAAGTATTCAAATTTTGCCCTTCCGCATTTATGGAACGAATTCTGAAGTTTGCCTGTTACGTCTTA